TGATTGATATTAAATGGAATTATGGGAACTTTCACATTTTGAGATATTTTCAAATTGACTAACTAAATTTGGGAAAAGATAATGGGAGGTAGCAACTATTGTTTGACCAAAAAGTTTGCCTTTTTATTAAACTAATTAAATAAGAAGATATGGGTTAAATCCTATTCGGAGATAATTTATTCTTGATCTGAGATAGAGACAAGAATAGACAAGCATAGCTGAACGTAAAATTTGATTACAGTCCCGATTGGATTCCATAATGTTAGAAAAGGAAGATGGCTTCAATAATATCAAATGATAATGAAGAATACATATAGGAAAAGAATCACCATTCTTGAACTAGATAGACCTCCATACATTTGATAAAGTTGAACTATAGATAAATACCAAGATCCTGAGATTTATCCCCCTTTTTGGCGAAGAGCGTGGGAGGATGGAACATCTTCTCCTTTAGAGGGATGAATGTCTATGTATTTGTTCCTATCAGCCCCCCCCCCCTCCCCCCCTCCTTTTGTTATTCTCTCTCGTGAAATTTATACAAAACACTTCCCTTATCCAGCGGTCCTTAACCGGAGTACCTAAGTTCTTGGAATATCCTCTAGAGTATTCCTCCTCTGAAATGTCTAAGTGTAGAACTAGCCGTTCGGGCCGAACTGAGTGCTCGACCTCGACCGTAGTTGAATCATTTGCTGAGATGTTGTTTCTTGTACGTGACTTCGGCTTGATTGACCCCTGGTCATTCTCCCTTAAGTAGAATTTCTTTGATCAAATTTTGACCTATACAACTATATTGTTGTTTTAAATTCTGGAGCACCGTTTTCTTTTTCGTTGCAATTTGTAATTTATTAAGACTTTATTACTAATAAGTTGTGCAATTCAGTAACTTTTGATCTGTTTTTCATGCAATTATAGTATCTACAATGGCATATTAAAGACCATAATTACTGCTCAATTACTGTTTTTCGTCATTTTCTTTGTAATATTTAGTTATAGTATCTACAATAATATGTGCAATATTACTTCTTATATGTAGGGGTGTTAATGGTTCGGTTTGGATCGGTTTTTCCCTAAAAAGAAACCAAACCAAGTAAATCGGTTTTTTAAATAATAGAACCAAACCAAACCAATTAAGTCGGTTTTTCCTCGATTCGGTTTATATCGGATTTTGTCGGTTTTTCGGTTTTTTCGGTTATTTGTCGGTTTTTTTTTAAAATATAAGACATACACTACCAAACACATACTCCGGCGATCACATTTTCAACGTAACACTATCAAATCAATTGCCCTTTGAGAAATCTATTATTTACCAAGATATATTGATGATAATTGAATCAAATAGTGATTAATAATTTAAGGACTCAATTAAAAATTTATTATTTTTAACAAGAAATGGATTCTCACATAACAAAAGAAAAATACCAATCAAACTAGAATGTAAAGGTAAAGAACTATAGTAAAAGTGGCAAACTATTAACATTTACCATAAAATTTTTGAAACTTTGTATAAAAATATACAATATATAGGTGTAATAATAAATTTGAAATAGCTACTCCTATAGTCGGTTTGGTTCGATTTATTCGATTTTTTCTGATTAAATCCAAAACCAAACCAAATTTGATCGGTTTTTAAAATTCAAAACCAACACCAAACCAAACCAAAAAGTATCGGTTTTTTTTGTCGGTTTGGTTTGATTATCGGTTTGGTTCGGTTTTTCAGGTTTTTATGAACATTCCTACTTATATGAATATAGTTTCTACGATAATATCTGCAATATGACTTGTTCGTGAAATTATTCATTGTGCTTTCCTTTTAATAAGATTATTATTAGGCGTAATGGCTTCCTGGCCACTTAAACTTGTGAGTATTTAAAAGCCGATACATGAACTTTGGATTTTTCCATTTGAACATCTCTACTTGAGAAAATGTCTACTAATAGATACTTGTCATGGTGCGTGTTGTTCAATCAATGCTGACATGAATTTAATTTAATATTTTATATAGCTACATCTTCCATTCATTCACATTTGTGGCCGCCTGTATATTCAAGGTCCCACTTTCTTTTTATTTTTTTATTTTTTTTTGTCAAATTAATTTTTTCTGCATAAAACCCTTGTACCCCAAAAACTGCTTCCTCCTTCCCTGTTGCAAAATCTTCTAAAGAGACAGTACGTGTGTGTAATTCATCACGCAAACGAAAGCCATAAAACCACCTCCTGAGCTTCCACCATTGTACACGTACTTGCCTTTGTGAAATATTGCAGTTGCTTAGGACTTCTACTCCCTCAGAACCCGCCAGAAAAATATTCCCCAACTGAAATCTGACATGATTTTTCTAGCAAATCAGTAAAAAATTTCAACAAATCAAAAAGCAACGAACACTGTTGCTTTTCAATTTCTTTTACCCATTCTAACTCCAAAAATTTGTCCCGATCTCTTCCATCTTCCTTGATTTGATGAATTTATTTTATGATAATGGATGCTGACTTTTCTTTAACATGAAGTTTTTGAGTGTGATTGATGGTTAAAAATTAAAGAATAGTCAGAAATGTGGGTTGAATATGGAGCTTTTGAGTTTGATTTATCAAAATTTTGGTTATGGCTTTAATTAAGAATAAATGGCAAAAGACAGGAAAGGAAGAAGGTGAATGAAGGGGGTGGGGAGATAGGGGGAAGATAAATGGAGGGGGTGGCTTTTCTCTAAATGAGATGAACTTTTCTATTTTTTTAAATTAATTATTTATCTTTTTTTTTAATTATTTATCATATACACGCGCTTAACACCTACGATTAATACGCAATTGGCCACATCAGTTATAATATTGCCACATAAGCATAGTCAACGGTCAAAGGTGTATATTAGTAGACATTTTCTCAAGTAGATGTGTTCAAATGCGAAAATCCAAAGTTCATGTATCGGCTTTCAAAAGCTCTACAAGTTTAAGTGGCCAGGAAGACATTTCGCCTATTATTTATTTATTCGTATAATATTGACTATTAAGTAAAAAATTTCATGTCCTTATTCGTAATTTGATACTTAAAAGTATTTTTTGAAAAGCTTGGCCAAACACAAATTATTGCTCAAAAGTGTTTTCCAGATTGATTAGTCAAACACAAACTGCTTATCTCTAAAAGTACTTATTTGAAAACCACTTTTAGAAAAAGGACTTCTCAAAATAAGCAGATTCTTTCAGCTTGGCCAAACAGGGTTGCGGCGTATGTTGCTGTGTGTCATGACCCGGATTTTCCACCCTCGGGAGTCATGATGGCGCCTACTAATGAGAGCTAGGCAAGCCAAATTTAATTATTTTTTCATTAGTACCATAATCCCTGTTTAACAATTATCGGCAATAATATAAAAGCAACGAAATTAAATAATAAGCGGAAGTCCTAAATTATAGAAAACTGAATAGAAATGCGGAAAATTCACATAAGCCTCTACCCAAGACTGGTGTCACAATACTCACGAACTACTAAGAATACTAAATACAATCGTCTGAAAGAGAACATAAACTGTTTGTCTCGAATACAATGAGATAACACACTAAAATAACGGATAGAGGAGACGTCGGGCCTGCGGACGCCTGCAGGGCTACCTCGATGTCTCGCTGGACTGAAGGCCTGCTCCCACACTACTGCTGCTGCTGCCCGAAACCTGGATCTGTGCAAAATAGCACAAAGTGTAGCATCAGCACAACCGACCCCATGTGCTGGTAAGTGTCTAGCCTAACCCCGGCGAAGTAGTGACGAGGCTAGACTGGACTACCACATAAACCTGTGCAATTATATATATACAGCGGAATCGAAATACAAGGCAAGTAAAACAATGTGGGAGGGGAAGCATGCTGTGGGGAGATAACAATTTCAAATATAAATGGACTAACACTAAGGAAAAGCACAACTCACACAACAATAAGGATCAGAGATCAACAAATGCACGGCATCACCCTTCGTGCTTTTACTCTCATCCTCACCAAGCAATAATATAAACAAACATGCACGGCATCACCCTTCGTGCTTTTACTCTCATCCTCACCAAGCAATAATATAAACAAACATGCACGGCATCACCCTTCGTGCTTTTACTCTCATCCTCACTAAGCAATAATATAAACAAACGTGCACGGCATCACCGTTCGTGCTTTTACTCTCATTCCTCACATATAATCAATAGAATAGGCACGGAATGGCGCATCGTGCGGCACATCATCACCCTTCGTGCTTTACACTCTTTCCTCACAAGAAAGAAACAATGCACGGCATCACCCTTCGTGCTTTAACACTCTTCCTCACCCAAACAACAATCACAAACAAGGGCAAGGGAATAATAAAACAAGAATAGAAGTCTCGGCAAGGGTACNCTAAGATAAATGGAGGGGGTGACTTTTCTCTAAATCTGACCCGATGAACTTTTCTATTTTTTTAAATTAATTATTTATCTTTTTTTTAATTATTTATCATATTCACGCGCTTAATACCTATGATTAACACGCAATTGGCCACATTAGCTATAATATTGACACATAAGCATAGTCAACGGTCAAAGGTGTTTATTAGTAGATATTTTCTCAAGTAGAGGTGTTCAAATGGAAAAATTCAAAGTTCATGTGTCGGCTTTCAAAAGCCCTACAAATTTAAGTGGCCATGAAGCCATTTCGCCTTATTATTATTATTATTATTATATAGATACCAGTGGCAGAATCAACCCATTTATTTGTAACCCGAACTCCTCAAACATAGGACATTATATTATAGATCATGAATATATAGGAGTTAGCATCGCTCCAATCGTCATTACAATAATAATTAGGAATTTTTTTTATGCCGGGTTTGATTATTTTACAGTTTGGTTCCTCTATTTTCATATAATTCTCTTTTTTGCTTTTCTATGCAAATAAAGCAGAACTGTCAATAACAGAAATCGGAATGGAAAAATTGCCACCCCTGCCAATATTGAAACTAAGAGATCACAAATTCTCCAATTATTTGAGAAGAGACAGAGTAATTCTCCAATTATTTGAGAAGAGACAGAGTAATTATCTTTCTACCCTTTTTCATCTCTTTGCGATAAATAGTTCATGGAGTACACAAATTCGGAAAGACCATGTTTTTATTATTAATATCAAGACAAATAATTTATAGAATTATCTAAAATTGAAAGTTAATACCAGAGAGTCGCTACCCTGCAATGTCAATTACAAATCACAACCCCACAACTATACAGGGACAACCTCCGGTACGACAGGCGATGATCCATTATCTTCGGCAGTCTTTTCCTCAGTGCTATCTGTAGTTTCACTATTCTCTTCTTCAAATCCTTGCGTGAACCTATCGTAGTTTGTGGGCTCACTACTCTGGAATGGACGTTTACCCAATACTCGGACCAGATCTTCTTGATGGAGGACTTCCTTTTCAAGTAGCATCTCAGCAATCTGAGCCACATGTTCTCTGTGTTCCTCTACTAGTTTTACAGTATTATCATATGCCTTGGCTACCCATTCTCTAACTTCACTGTCGATAATTGCTGCTGTCTTGCTACCGTAGGGCTTTGCCTCAAACGTATCTTCTCTTTGTGGGAACGAAAGGAGGCCAACCTTGTCACTGAAACCATATACTGCTACCTGAGCATAAGTCATCTTGGTGACTTTCTCCAAATCATTTTGAGCTCCGGTGGAGATCTTCCCAATCAAAACCTACTCAAAATGAATATTCATAAGAGCATTGTAAAAATCTATTCACTAGTCAAAAAAGGGTAGAAAAGACATTTAAACATTTAAAGATACACTGCCTTTTGAGTAAGGTAGTGATGACATATTGCCCAACAACGACATATCATAGACAGAGTTGCCCCGGCGAAAGGTATTTGTTCTATACTACCAGTGTCATCAAATCAAGATGTACTACTTCATTGAGCTTCTTTTCGTTGAGGTTGAAAAGTAGATAATTGGATAGGACCAACCCCCATTATGAATTACTTAGCATATATATGCACTTATACTCTGTAAAAGATGGTGCATGACTAGAAACCGATCATTCACATTAAAACAGAAAGTTCCATCATGGAGCTTAGATGCCTACTAATGTAGTCCTTTGCACAAATGGTTTTCTATATGCATCCAATGTGGTGACAATGCTTTCAATAATTAAGCCTTAATGCAAATAGGGTAAACATATGAAAGCAAGAGAAAGAGTTGATAAACTTACCTGCTCAGCAGCTCGGCCACCAAGAGTCATGCATGTCATATCAAATAGCTGCTCTTTAGTCATTAAAAGGTTTTCATTGGGAACATACTGAGCAAATCCAAGGGCTGCTGTACCACGAGGAACAATTGTCACTTTGAGCAATGGCTCTGCATATTCCAAGAACCAACCAACAACAGCATGCCCAGCTTCATGATAAGCAACTGTCCGCCTCTCCAGCTTGCTTATGACCTGCAGAAACCACAAAGGTTGCTTTGAATTATATTATATCATCCAAAACAAAATTATTCATCCCATTCACAAGTCCTTACTAGAATCTAAAGAGTGCTGGTCAGCAATTTTCAACAGCATCTAAAGAATTTGAACCAAAGCATACATCACCCAGGTCAACATTCACCAAAGTTCCCTTTTTATTTTGGGAAAAAAGAAAGATAGAAATGCAAGAGGAAAGAAAAGGGATCGAAATGTCATCTCAAGCCAATATATAGCAAGTAGAAGGGTGTCGAAGCAGAGAACATCATGCGCGAAATTTACTGCACTTCTTGTGTGTGTGTGGTGGTTTTGGGGGGGGGGGGTGGGGTAGTGCGACGTAGACGAACG